AATCAATGGTTTCAGTTGCAGCTGTACGTAAGGAGTTTGAAATGCCCTTATACCAAGTTGCTGAGAGCAAAAGTGAAAACCGAGAAGAAAATCGTTCGGCTGTCTGTTGTGATTGCAGATTCTCGACGTCGAACCTTCCTTGTGTTTGTTGGCGTGCGTTTCTGCTGCACAGAGACGKGTGCAAATCTTGGCTTCAACAAGGTAGTGGTCCGAGTCGATGTTGGGACGAGCGTACGCACGTCTAACACAATGGAGACGTGTCTTCCGTCTATCACAACATGATCGATTTGGTTGGTGTCTTTTCGATCCGGGGACAGCCAAGTAGCTTGATGTATTTTCTTATGCTGGAATCTAGTACCACATATAACCATATTTCGGGCGCCGGCAAAGTCGATCAGCCTCACCCCGACCGTAGTGCCAAAGATACCTTCTTTGCTTACCCTGGCATTAAGCACTCATAAAAGCATCTCATAAAAGGCATCTTTGGTCACATCGTCGTTCTCTTCCGTCGGGGCGTGGGCGCAAATCCGCGATATATTGAAGACCTCGCTTTGATGCGGATTGTGGCTAGACGTTCGTTCACCGGGGTGAATGATAGTACTCGGCGACGGAGTCTCTCTCCCACCACGAATCCCACGCCAAACTTGCGCTCCTTTATATGGCCACTGTAGTAAATGCCACAAGGACCTTCTCGTCTCTTTCCTTGTCCCGTCCATCGCATTTCTTGGACGGCGGTGATGTCAGCTTTTATTTTCACGAGGACATCAACCAGCTGGGCAGCGGCACCTTCCCAATTAATGGACCGAACATTGCAAGTGCATGCCCTCAATTCGTATTCCTTATTTCGTCTTCCATGGTCGTCATCAAAAGGTGGGTCTCTCACCGAAAGTTGTGAGCTAATTGAGTCATATGTAAAAGAATTGTTTCTGGCTACTCCCAAGAATGACGATCAGAAATCTTTCCTCACTTGTGTGAACTCCTACACATGACTCCATCTTCCTCATACAGATGACCAGGAATTAAAAAACCGACGCTCTTCTGAAAACCGGTTATTATTTGTATACATACAGTTAAACCTCCTACAACGCGTGATCATATAACGCGTTTTCGCTGCAACGGTGTTCCCAAGATGCGAACATTTTCTTACAACATGATTTTACAAAATTTTTTTCAAATATTTACTATTATAATTTGAAAAAGGTTTTCTTGCCCAATTCCTTGCATTTTGTTCATACTTTGATACCTATCTTTTTTATAGTATTGCCACCCTACTCTTGAACATGTGTTTACAAAGTGACAAGCGAATACGTAAATTAAAAAAGGGAGTTCCCCGCGCTAATTTCATTTGGTGTAATAATATTTTTGTTAGTGTGTTGTCGGCATTGCAAATAAAAACATCAATCTAAAGCTTGTAAAAAATTWAAAAAAAAATATTCAGTTAATTTCAGTTAAATTATAAAAAATTTTCGAATGAGTTGTGTTTTTCGTAAAAGAGTTTTAATAAAATTATTTTCTGGTGAATAAGTAAATTTCTTTTAGACTTTATTTATATGTATGTAACTTTATTTAAATGCAAATAATTTTTTAAATGTAGCCACAAAAACGGTAGCATCTGGGTCCTCTGTAGTCACGAAAGTAACTGCTCGTCCTAGACCGCAGATAATGGAGATATAAAAGACATGGCAAAACAAGTAAGGAAGACCTAAGTTCGGGTGTTATCGAACATTTTATACTCCCGCATGACAAGTTTCATCAAGATATCTCAATTTTTACTCAAGTTACAGCTTGCACGGACGGATTTCAACTCTACTCGTCTATATGTAACCATATATCTGACTCTTTTAGTTTTAGGACTTACAAACAACCGTTATGTGAACAAAACTATAATACTCCCCTAGCAACTTTGTTGSGAGAGTATAAAAATGGTTATTTACCTGAAAACATGTTCAACGCAGATCAGACGAGCTTCTGGTGGAAAAAAATGCCTTCAGGAACTTTTATTTCGAAAGCGAAAAAAGAGCTCCTGGCTTTAAAGTTACAAAAGATCGAATAACATTATTGCTGTACGGTAAAGCGTCTGGTGATTTTATGACCAAGTCAATGTTTATTAACCGATCATTAAATCCAAGGTGTACGAAACTGTGCAACAAAAACAACCATCTAGTCTTTTGGGGAGCCAACAAAAAATCATATTTAATGATTGGGTTTATCTTTKCTTTGTTCCAGACGTAACAAATTATCTAAAAAAACAATTTAGCATTTAAGGTTTTACTGCTTTTAGATAATGCGCAATCTCATTCGACTGATTTAAGTCATCCTAATGTTCAAATCGAATTTTTACCGCCCAACGCCACATTCAAAAGCAGCATTCAAAACTTACTACATTCGGAAATCCTTTGAGTTAATATTAGAGAAGATGGAGTCAGCAAATATTCTGGAAACAATTTACAATTTTAAATTCCGTTGAAATTGTTGATTCGTCACTTAAAGAAATTCGTCCTTCAACATTAAAAGCTTGCTGGAAAGCCCTAATACCGAAAAAAGATGTTCAGGGCACTGTTTCTACACCAATAGAAGATGAATATAAGAACATAATGAGATTGGCGCATGCAGTAGAAGGTGGTGGATTTGATAAAATAACAATGGCTGATATTCGAGAATTAATTGCGGACGACGAAATAAACAAAGCAGATTTAGTGACAATGACAAATGAAGAATCAGTTGGATGTAGATTTGGCGATCTTTCCGATGTTGAAAATAAAAAKTTCACTAAAAAATATCGAAAAAGCTTTAAATATGGCAAAGCAGTTGGAATAATACATTTTGGAGAACGACCCTTTAAGTGACAGAGCAGAAATATTTAAACGAAATCTTCGAAATATGTCAATTTTTACTCAAGTTACAGCTTGCACAGATGGATAGACAGACAGACAGTCAACCGTATTTCAACTTTTCTCGACACTCTGATCATTTATACACATACATATATATATCCTTATATCCATCTCGATTAGTTTTAGGTGATACGTACAACCGTTAGGTTAAAGGTTTAAAATGCTGTATATTTTGCTGTTGTCGTGCGTTAGAGCAACTTCGCTTCGCTGAGTTAGAAAGAGAAATACTCGTAACGATACCAACCGAGTTGTGTATATACGAATACTTGCGCCTGTGCAGTTATTGCGGTGACTTCGTGCGCTCAGTATGATAAAAAGTTGTATAGTGCTTGTTTTGGATTTACAAGGAATATTTCGAACAATATTTTAAGTGTAGTGAAAATTACATAATAACCTCAGTTACAGTGTAAAATAAAGGCACACGATGAGAATATTACTTTGACTTTATAGTGTTTTTTATTATATTGCAGTTACATAATGTCAAGGACTTGCAAACATCTCCAGATATGTTTACTATAAAAGCTCAGAGAAATGATTTGTCTAGATTAGTTAAAATTTTTTATTAGCGTTATTTCGGATTTCCGGTTGGTGAAAGGAATAAAAATTTTCCCCCAAAAATGTTTTACAGCAGTTCCTCAAGAACCTTACGTGGCTTGCCTACAGGAAGCCATAAGACCCTGCCATTCGCAACGCCTATGATTTGGATTCAAAGTTTTTTTGTTATTTTTGTGTGACCAAACAAGAAATAAAAATATGATTCAATATCCAGAAATACCATCTGCACAAAAACCTCCAATTGATGGAAACTTTTGGCCTCAACTTACTCAATAAAGTATTTCTTCAGCGTCATCAACAAGCTTAGAAAAACAGCATCTACTAATTCAGACAGATTTTAATGATCTTGTTCGTGATTTAGGACTCTCAAAATCAAAGAGTAAACTTTTCGGATCAAAACTTAAACAATGGAGGAAAATACAAGGGTCTCATTTATCTGACACAAACATGAACAATTTGTTTGTTACTTCACCAAAGGGAATGATTTGGTACTTTGAAATAATGCTAACAGTCTTCTACAAGAACCAGGTTCATCAGGAACCATAAGAGTGGCGACTTTTCTAAAATTAGTTAAAAAAGGATATTTATTGCCATTGTGAAGTAGAATGGCAATAAATATCCTCTAATTAATCTAGCGCATGCAACAAATATGAAAAAAATTATGTAAGTATGTATATAGTATGTGGAACATTTGCGCTCATCTCAAATATAACAATGTTAACTGGCCTACAAGGAGGATACACAAAATATTGTTGTTTTTTGTGCGAGTGGGATAGTAGGACGAGAGATAAATGAAGTACACACATTTTAAAATAAAACCGAACGAACCCGAAAAACGACATGGACTGCTTCCGTCAAAGCCACAATTTTTTAGGAAACACTACCACGATACTGTCACAAGACTTAGTTCTTCCTATAAAGACCTAGGGTGTAACTTATTCTTAAAAATTCATTTTTTGGAGTCTCACTTGGATTTTTACCCTTGGAAAGGTATCAAATGAACATGGTGAGAGGTTTCATCAAGATATTATGCCAATAGGCAGGCACTACAATGGTCAGAAGGAATGCTTGCAGATTTTTCTGGTTTATTCGGCTCCAAATTTCACTTAAAAATATGAAATGAAGGAAAACCACAAAGTAAAATATTATTAATAAATAGCATATGATTTGTAATATACGTTTTAATGTTTTTTCATAGTGTATATCTAAATTACAAAAAAAGAAATATATGATTAAAATATATAGCTAAAAAAGAATTTATGTTTAAAAATTCCATTGTAAAAAAATATACAGGATAGAAATTTTTTGATACCATATTTCTATTTAGTACTATTCAATCAATAATAATAATTCATAGTTATGTAAAGAAAACAATTTTTTTTTCTTTGCAAACCCGTGTATTTTGCAATACTGACCACAAATTTTAAATTTGTTTTCTTAACTGATGATCATGCATGTGATCGAAAACTGAAAAGACTAACAGTAATGCTTCTTTACTAAATTGGTATGCAGTTTAACCTTTTTATTTTTCTGTGTCATCAAACAATATAGGGGAACATATGGTCGCAAGCCCAAGTAACGTATGTGTACAACACCACAATAGCTCCAGTGAACTCAGCGAGCACAGAAGCAACATTAACTTCATGCGAAAAATTCCGGCAKGTGCCGAAGCGAATAACATTCTTGTCGGGGAAGTTGATTTCTTGGAAAAACCTTTGGTAGGATTCATTCGTCTGAAAAAAGGATTGTTTTTAGGAGATTTAACAGAAGTTCAAATTCCAACGCGGTTTGTTACGAAATGCGAAAATTTAATTAAATAATGTTTCTTCTTTTTTAGCTTTATTTTTATAGCGTTGGGTGGACCTGGCAGTCAAACTAATATGCAGGAAATAGGCCGAGCTATGGGTTCGCTCATGTCTGATGAAATATTCCATGAAATTGCATATCGCGCAAAACACATCGACCACCTAATTGCGGGTATGGAGGAATTCTTAAATGCGGTTACTGTGTTGCCGCCAGGTGAATGGGATCCAGCTATACGAATCGATCCCCCAGCTACAATACCTTCACAGAAGATTCGCAAACGGTCTCCGGAAACCAGTAAAAAAACGAACGAGGAGGAGGAAGAGCGACGATTACGCGAAGAGTCTGGACTTATACGAACTGGACGGCTTTTCGGCGGGTTAACTAATGATCTTAAAAGAAAGGCAACATGGTATTATACTGATTTTAAGGATGGATTATCGATGCAGTGTATTGCATCTTGGATATTTTTGTATTTTGCTTGTCTTTCACCAATTATAACGTTTGGGGGACTGCTATCCCAAGCAACTGGTAAAAATATTGCGGCCATGGAGTCTCTAGTTTCTGGTTTCATTTGTGGTATCGGATACGGCCTTTTTTCTGGACAACCACTCACAATTTTGGGATCAACTGGGCCGGTCTTAGTATTTGAGACCATCATTTACGACTTTTGTCAAAATCAAGGTTGGGACTATTTGACGTTTCGTTTCTGGATTGGCACTTGGGTTGCTGTCATATTATTATTTTTAACAGCTATTGATGCAAGTGCTTTAGTTTGCTATATTACTCGTTTCACCGAGGAAAACTTTGCCACACTAATTGCTTTCATTTTTATATATAAGGTAAAAGTTGCATTCATATAATCCTAAACCCTTATACAAAAATTGTGAAAATATTTTTCTTCTAGGCTGTTGAAAATGTTTGGATGATAAAAATTAACTTTCCGATAATAAATCCTGTATATGATTGTATATGCATACCACCCGCAGATAGTAACTTTACAGTTTTGGATTATGCAAAATATGACAAATCTTTTTGCATAGTAAGTTTAAATTACATATATGATTTTAGATAAAAAGTATATTCATACAATACTTTAACAGGCTAACAATGGTACTCTGGTTGGTTCAGACTGTATTGGAGAAAGTACTGAAAATATTTTCCTGATGTCACTAATACTGTTTTTTGGTACCTTCATAACATCAGTGCTGCTAAAAGATCTTAAGAATGCGCCATATTTCCCATCAATAGTAAGGCAGTATATCAGTGACTTCGCTGTTATTATTGCCATATTGTCAATGTCAATTCTGGATTTTATAATGAACATCCCAACACCAAAACTTGATGTACCACACGAATTTAAGCCAACCCTAAGCTCGCGTGGTTGGTTAGTTCCACTATTTTCAACAAATAACCCTTGGTGGTCACCACTTGTAGCCATATTCCCAGCAATGTTAGGAACTATTTTAATTTTTATGGATCAGCAAATTACGTCGGTAATAATAAATCGGAAAGAAAATAAACTCAAAAAGGGGTGTGGCTACCACTTGGATCTTTTCATATTATCAATACTTATACAAATATGCAGTACAATGGGTTTACCATGGCATGTAACTTTTATTATTTAATATCAACAAATCTGAATTATTTGTTTTTTTTCAGGTTTGTTGCCGCAACTGTTCTTAGTATAAATCATGTGAATTCACTTAAATTGGAATCTGAATGCTCTGCACCAGGAGAGAAACCACAATTTTTAGGTGTACGAGAACAACGTGTAACACACGTATTAATATTTTTAACAATCGGGTTTTCCGTTATGTTAACACCTCTACTTTGTCATATTCCTATGCCAGTACTTTTCGGCGTGTTTCTTTATATGGGTATAGCATCACTTTCAGGCTTACAGTTTTTTGATCGTTTACTAATAATACTTATGCCTGCAAAGTACCAACCGGATTTCATGTTCCTACGAAAGGTGAGTTTCAAAAAGTTAGGTATAGACATTAGAGTGAGTCGATTTTTTTCTATATAAAATGTACCTGATATTTCAAGGATCATTCTAAAAAACTTTGAACAAGAGACTATGAGTTTAAAACCGGTTAGGAGGAGAATTTGAAAAATTTGAATGATCAATTGTATTGGAGGTATGTGATATAGTTGTTCGATCTGGTCAATTTCGAAATATAAAATCTCAAGGAGCACCTATATATTAAAATTCATTCAGATACTTCGAAAAGCTGACGAAGAAATTTTATATTCCCGAAAAATTAAACTTCACCTAAAAAATCACTGGCCCGAAAACGTGTTTAGACCCTTATTCTCTTAGAGAAATCTGTATAGAATTATGCATACAATATTTTAGATTTAATCAACCCTCTCTAATATACATACATATTATATGTATTATATTATTAAAGTGGGCCAAAAATAATTTTCATTGTTTTTTCCTTAGTTAACACGAAAATCTCATCCGACATGACAAAAAACAAGTTCCGCTAAAACCTGAGCTCTTAATATTATTATTAAGAGGTTCCTCATCGATATTTTCGATTTCTCATTTAATAACACAGCAAATTTTGTTTTTTTGTTTAGATTTTTAATGTACACAAACAAAKAATTGGTAAGGGAGAATCGACACGTATTCTTATTTATTTACCGATCTACAAAAAAGGTCTAGAACATTTTTTGGCTAAGTCAACTCATTCAAAATTATTCGTAGTTAAAGTCCAACAGAAAATTATAAAAAATTATTTCCACAATTTTCCATCTTATATTACAAATTGATGGCGAATAAACATAAGAAATCATATTTTTCGTAAAACTTATCAAGTGTTTAGCGAAATGACCATTGAATTTTAACAAAATATCGATAATCGTCTAATAAAATCTATTTTTTAAGTACTTAATTTAACTCTACTCTGTGTGAGTGATGACTTAGAAACATTAATCGTTGCCTGAAAAAATAATGTGTCCTATTTGCTCCTGACTCTCGGGAAATGTAAATTAATAARAGCCATTTTTCAGTAATTTTTCGATTGCAATACAACTTTTTRTTTCATATCTCTTACATAGTGATTATTTAAAAATGAAACTTAAGTCTTTTTGTAACGATCGGGAAAATTTTGCCGATAATTTTTAACAACTTGCAATAAATATTGCAATTGTCCTTCATTTTTAGTAAGACATTTGTTGTACTCCTCTATTAAGGCAACACCTCTTTCTGCTACATCATTGACCAAGCTGAGGCGCTTAAAAAATTCCCGATTCTCTTGTTAGCTTTCATCCTGTGAAAAGGGTCCCACATTTTTGTCTTTGACTTTTTCGAAATAAAGTTCTCAGATCTACTGATAAAAATTGGTCTGAATTTCCTGGCTCAATTTCAATTTTTTTTTTCTTTTGGTTTTAGATCAGTGTTTATTTCTTTTTTTATTTAAAGCTTGAATCATTTTCTGTTTTATTGGTAGGGGCACATTATCACATTATCATCAAAAAGCGAAATAATGGAAAACTGTTCACTCAAATACCACAGGTGATTTTTTCATTTTTGAACAAGCCGCTGTTGATACGGAGCTGTTTAYAGTTTTATACTCAACTAAGTCTTGCATGAAGGTCCACTCATTGTATGGTGCCAGAATCGCAGATGGAGCATTGTACCAAGCTCTTAAATAAATTTTAACAAAAAAATACAAACTTCACGTAAGCCATTGAATTATCGTGCTGTTAGTTTAAATTCTTCTCAAAAGAGAAAAATGTTTAACGAATAAATGACTTTCGCCATCAAATGAGCATGATAAACTGGACCTGCATATTTAAACGTATAGTTCTTCTTCTTGATTGGCATAGTCACCGCTTACGCGATTATAGCCGAGTTAACAACCTTGCGCCAGTCGTTTCTTCTTTTCGCTACGTGGCGCCAATTAGATATTCCAAGTGAAGACAGGTCCTTCTCCACTTGGTCCTTCCAACGGAGTGGAGGTCTTCCTCTTCCTCTGCTTCCCCCGG